TAATTCACAGAATGCAAGAGTCTAATCACATACATAAGAGACTTGTACCCAGAATACATATAATGAACTCCTACAACTCAGTAACAAAGACAACCCAATTAAAAAATGAGCAAAGGGTTGGAATACGCAATTCTCCAAAGAAGAAATGCAAAAGGCCAAAAAGCACAGGAAGGGAAATGCAAATCAAAACCATAATGAGACACCACGTTACACGCACTATGAGTAACGTAATCAATTTTAAGAAAAAAGAGACACAAGTGTTGGTGAGCACATGGAGGGAGAAAGCGGAGCCCTCATCCACTTCTGGTGGGAATGGTAAATGATTTTGCTCTCTGAAAAACAAGTCTGGCAGTTCCTCAAAAGGAAAACACAGTTACCACATGACCCAGTAATTCCACGCATAGGTATACACTCAAGAAAATACACATCCACATAAAAACAGGAACATGAAATGTTCATAACAGAATTTTCTATAAAAGTCAAACAATAAAAACCACCCAAGGCTGGGCACAGTGGCTTACGTCTGTAATCCTAGCACTTCGGGAGGCTGAGGCGGATCACCTAAGGTCAGGAGTTTGAGACCAGCCTGGCCAACGTGGTGAAACCCCATCTCTACTAAAAACACAAAAAAACAAATTAGCCGGGCATGGTGGTGGGTGCCTGTAATCCCAGCTACTCGAGACATGGAGGTTGCAGTGAGCCAAGATCACGCCATCGCACTCCAGCCTGGTTGACAAAAGCGAAACTCCGGCTCAAAAAAAAAAAACAAAAAACAAAATGTCCACCAATGGACGAGTGGAAAACAAAATCTAGTATATCAGCCAGGGGCAGTGGCTCACATCTGTAATCCCAGCATCTTAGGATTACAGGATTTGAGACCAATCTGGCCAATGTGGCAAAATCCCATTGCTACTAAAAACACAAAAATTAGTCAGGCGTGGTGGCACATGCCTGTAGTCCCAGCTACTCAGGTGGCTAAGGTACGAGAATCACTTGAACCTGGAAGGCGAAGTTGCAGTAAGCCAATGTGGCACCATGCACTCCTGCCTGGGCGACAGAGCAAGACTGTCTCCCCCACTCAAAAAAAAGAAAAAAACAAATCAAACATGTACAAAGCATTAAATAATATACATTTTGCTGGGTGTAATAATGGTACTGTGTTATATATTTTTTAATGTCTATATTAATAACTTTTAATCTGAGAATAGAGTTCCCTTTTTCTTTATTAATTTATTTAAAGAAACTAGGTAATTGATCTTATACAAGTGCCCAAGTGTCATTTTAACATATTCCTTTACCCCTCATATTTTCTGTGAACTGGTCAGTAGAAGCTTGGATAGATTCAGATTCAATTTCTTTAGCAAGAACATTCCATAGGTGGTGGTTTATACTTCTTACTGGATTACATTAGGAGGCACGTTATCTGCTCCTCCTACATTTTTAGTCAGTTAAGATACACACTTAAGGACTTACATATAAAACAATATGTCTGAGATTCGGTATAAAATAGCACAGCAAAATAACAACAAAAAGGTATGGAGAGATAGATGAAACAAGAATGGCAGCATGTTAAGGCTAGTTGAAGACTGCTGGTAGGTATGTGGCAGTTTAACTATTTCTAAAATATTATTTTTTAAAAAATCTGGCTCCTACCTAAACCTCCAAAAGCCTCATCCTTTGGTCAGGCTCACACCTGTAATCCCAGCACTTTGGGAGGCCAAGCTCGGTGGATCACCCGAGTTCAGGAGTTCAAGACCAGCCTGGCCAACATGGTGAAACCCTGTCTCTACTAAAAATATAAAAATTAGATAGGTGTAGTAGCACACACCTGTAATCCCAGAGACTCAGGGGTCTGAGGCAGAGGAACTGCTTGAACCCGGGAGGCAGAGGTTTCAGTGAGCCGAGGCTGCAGTGAGCCAAGATCACATCACTGCACTCCAGCCTGGGAGACAAAGCAAGAATGTCTCAAAAAAAAAAAAAAAAAAAAAAAAAAAGCCTCATCCCTTATTACCTCCTAACATATACTCTATGTTTTGGCCACACTAAACTAAGTATTAATAGTAGTTCCTCAAAATGGCGTATAATTTCACCATCCACACCTCTGCATTTGTTAGTCCTGGTGCCCAGAACACCCTTCTCCCTTTTTGTCCTGGCAAACACCTACTCATCTTTCCAGACTTGGCTCAGATGTCACTTCCCTCAGAAAAACCTCTATAACTTCCAGTCTCACACTAAGCTGGCTGTCCCTACTAATCCAGTGGCTAATTCTAAAGGCACTGGAATTACATACCTGTCTACCACCCCAATTCAGACTATGAATGCCTTTAGTGCTGCTCTAAGTGTACATAAAGGGACTTCCCAGAAGCCTGAAGCCTACTAGGAGGAGTCCCTAGGGAAGTCTTGAATAAACACACTGGGCCACAGAAACATTTCATCCCAACTATTCCTACCTGCTAAGCAGAGAGGTACAAAGGCACCATCTCCAAAGCAGTAGGAAGGAGGAAAGTTCAGAAAGGAGTAAGACTCCCTGAGAATATCAAAGGAAGCTTCTTAGGCCTAGCAGAATCCTTACTATCCGCAAATGCTATCACCTACAGTGGCAGGGATCGATAGGGAACCCAGGACACAGCTTCTCAAAACTGAAATGTGCCTATGAATCCTTTGGAAACCTAGTTTAAGATGTAGATTCTGGCCAGACGCAGCACTCTGGGATGCCAAGGCAGCAGATCACAAGGTCAAGAGATCGAGATCAACCTAGTCAACATGGTGAAACCCAATTTCTACTAAAACTATAAAAATTAGCCAGCCGTGGTGGCGCGCGCGTGTAGTCCCAGCTACTCGGGAGGCTGAGGCAGGAGAATCGCTTGAACCCGGGTGGTGGAGGTTGTAGTGAACAGAGATCACGCCACTGCACTTGAGCCTAGCGACACAGCAAGTCTCCATCTCAAAAAAAAATGAAGATGCTGAATGAACAGGACTGCGAGTCTGTGTTCCAGGTGCTGTTGATGCTGCAGGTCTGTAGATGACACTTTAACCAGAAGACTCTGGGGGATCTGGGAAGTGAGCCCTTTCTCAGGGAACATGCAGCATTAACTCCCGTCCTATTAACTCTCTCTTTTTAGCTTACACATTGTGTCATTAAAAAAACAAAAGCAGTCAAAAAATCAAAACTCTAAGTCTTCTGTATCCATCAGCCTCTCTCTTCCAACATATCATGGTTCTACTGTGACAATGATGCCATCTCATTCATTTCAATATCCCAAGCCTGGGAAGGACAGGCCCTCAAAAAATGCCTGTTAAATCATATTACATCTAACAGAAGGTCCTCAACTTATAATGGTCAGACTTACGCTTTTTCAACTTTACAATGATGCAAAACCATTCCGTTTGTCACTTTCAGTACAGTATTCAATAAATCACATGAGATATTCAACATCTTATTATAAAATAGGCTTTGTGTTAGATGATTCTGCTTAACTAAAGGCCATTATAATACGTGTTCTGACCATGTTTAAAGCAGGCGAGGCTAAGCTATGATGTTCAGTAGGTTAGGTGTAGGTATTCCTTTCTAATTCACTTGTTAAGATATTTTTGCTTATTGGTCTGTCTTTCCCATTTGATTATCAATTTCTTGAAGACCGAGACTCCTCCTTTTGTTCTGTGGCACGGTCTGGCACACAATGGGTATTCAGTAAATGACTGTTAACCTAGGGTGGATGACTGACCATATAAACTACTACATTCAGGTTCCTAGAGAAGACACTGAGAACGCATCCTGAATTTGCAATCCTTTTTTCTAAGGATTTAAAATGCTCACATGTGTGACTCATGTGAGTGTTCATGGAAGTTCAGTAATACACACTGAAAGGGTCATCAGCTCCACCTGACAAGTAAGAAAACAGCACATATTATACTTCTTCCCAGACAACCTTATCAACACAGAAAACAACAGTTAACAAACAATACCTCAGTCTTCCCACATTCATCAGGTAGATCCTGGTGTATGGCCACTTGATACTTGACATACAAAGAAAAGGACTGGCTGAAAGACGACTTGAACTCTGGGTCCTCAAAGGAGGCAGGTACTAACCTCACCTTCAGAGCAAGGAAAATACAAGCAAATGCTATTGAAACATCTCTAACTGATGATATGCTTCTGAAGGTGAGGCTAGAGTAAGATCTCCGCAAATCCACACCAAAGCTCAAACTGGAATTTGTCATGAAAAGAAACCCTAGACTGGGCGGACTGGCGCAGAGACTGAAGTGCTAACTCTGTACTAAAACTTATGAAAATCTCAAAATCATAAGAGCCAACAATTTGTTCATCTTTTTTTTTTCTCTATCCACTTATTGTAGTTTTCTGCATAAATTAGAGTCAATATTGTTGTTAATCGTGGTCATGATCACTACTTTTGCTACCTCTACTTATACTAAGTGTTTTAAGCTTTTTTCCTTTACAGATTTTTCTTGGGTCATTTAACTTACAAAATTATTAGCATATGAGTTCTTCTATTAAAATGTTCTACTATCTGCCTTTTTTAGTCCCACTCAATTGTGCAAGGGTAGCACATTAATAAATAATAATTTAGCTGGGATCAATTCTTTCTACATAGGTCTTTCAAATACGGATAAAGAATTAAAATCATTTTAGGCAAAGTATATATCTACCATAAAAATATAAAGTTTCCTGCATTTTCCTCATAGGTATTTTAATTTAGAGCTCTATTACTATCTTTTAGATAAATGCATCTAAAATAGTGATTTTAAATAATTTTACATATTACTTTCCACTCTGAAATTATACATAGCTGGTACTTAACATGGCACTAGGTAAAATTTGCACTTTCAGAATGTCCATTAATTCAGTCTTAGGTATTTGCAGATATGCTGCAAATTGAACACAAATAAAATGTAGCACAAATAAACCAAGATTTCATTAAATGATATTAAGTGGAAGGAAAGCTCTGTTTGCACAGGAAAATTACACTTGGCCTGCTGACCTGGCTCTCGGTTGGCGTATCAGGTGAGTTCTTGTGAATAACCATCTGGTAACGTTTATAGACCTGGTAAGACTCCAGAAGTGTGGCTTTGAACTGCGAACTTGGTGGAGATGATCTCACCACCCTCACCTTCAGAAGCAGTTAAAAAAACAAGTTCACTAATTCATTCATTTATTCATTCAGTGGAATATGCATTAACAGTAACTCCCATCCAAGAAACCAAGTTTTAACAATCATTAAAGCAACTAAATATTTTAATATTAAAAACCAACCAGTTAGTAAATAAAGAAAAAAGTTATTTTTGTAACTTACAGACTCATTAAGAAGACAGAGGAGGATGCCCTCTAAACTCTAAGCCTCAGCTTTCATGACTGAATTATGTGAGCCTGCCTCTATTATAAACTGGCAGAGTATTTCCAGCACTCGTACACACACGACACACACATAAATAAATAACCTCTAGTTGTGCACAACTACCAGTAACTCTAAGAAAGACTAAAAATATGAATACATTTTTTGGACACTCATTCATCATTGCTAACCCTCAACTTAAAACTCTGCTGTTTAAGCTTAAAAGACCTCATAAAGTTTTCCTACTTCATAGCATAGTTAACAACCATGACTCTGAAGTCACATTTCCTTCATTCAAATCTTACAACGTCACCATGTTGCTCAAGTAACCTTGTAAAATAAGGATAAGTTTAAAACAGTAATTGCATGCAGTAATGGCTAACATTTACTTTAACATTATTTACTAGCCACTTAAAATGAATTAGCAAAACAGAACAGTAAAACAGTCAAATGCAATGTAACGAAAACAACTGGAAACTTGACATGTGTGCCGTGAGGGGTAATTCTGTGAAGAAACAGCGACACCCAGTGGTAAAAGATCTCTATACATCCTGAGTATCATTACATTCAAAAAGTAAAAGTAACCACTGGACAACTGTTATGTTAAGCATGCTTGGCCCCCTGAATACATTACTATTTATGATCAAAAGATAAAAGACACCTTGTAAAATATTTTAAGTAGTGTATTCAACTCTGTTTACAATTTTGGAAGGAAAAAAAATCTGTATCCAAATCAGAGTAGCCAAAGAGTTATAAAAGCTAAAATCTGGCGGGGCGAGGTAGCTCACACCTGTAATCCCAGCACTTTGGGAGGCAGAGGTGGGCAGATCACCTGAAGTCAGGAGATCGTGACCAGCCTGGCCGACATGATGAAACCCTGTCTCTACTAAAAATACCAAAAATTAGCCGGGCGTAGTGGTGGGTACCTGTAATCCCAGCTACTCAGAAGGCTGAGACAGGAGAATTGCTTGAACCCGGGAGGCGGAGGTTGCAGTGAGCCGAGATCGCGCCATTGCACTCCAGCCTAAGCAACAAGAGTGAAACTCTGCCTCAAAAAAAAAAAAGCTAAATCCTCTGATAACACATATATTGAATTAAGGCTTAGAATGCATGAAAGTTAATTTTTATTATCAGGACTTTAGTGGTATTTTTAGACGAAGTAAGCCATAAAATTCAAAGGCTGACCAGTTACTAATCACATATGAGAATAAGATAAAAATCGTTATGGCTAATGTTTTTGAGACAAACGTTTGCTCTGTCTCCCAGGCTGGAGTACAGTGGCGTGATCTCAGTTCACTACAACCTCCAGCTGCTGGGTTCAAGCAATTCTCGTGTCTCAGCTCCCTAGGAGCTGGGATTACAGGTGCACACCACCACGCCCGGCTAATTTTTCTATTTCAGAAGAGACAGGGTTTCACTGTGTTGGCCAAGCTGATCTCAAACACCAGACCTCAAGCGATCCACTCACCTCGGCCTACCAAAGTGCTAGAATTACAGGTGTGAGCCACCACATCCAGTCCTGGTTTTTTTATATATGAGAAACTAATACTGAGAAATCTTGATCTGATCGAGAAATGTAAAAAAATTTGGAAAAAAAGGAGGAATCTGGCTCTAAAAGGATTCATATTATGCCCAAATTGGTTTGGGTACTAATGAGAGAGGATTTCAGCAGTACATTTGAGCCCTATTTAGATAATTCCTAACTGCTAGCTTATGTATATGACACCATTTGCTGTCTTTACCAAGATCAGAATATTATAATGGAGAAAATAGTGATTTGCCTTGTGTAATCCATTGTCTTCTACTATCTAAACCAAAACTGCTAAAAACACAATTTTAAAGAGTATTTCTTTCATTTTAACTGTTAAATTTCAATCAAGGTAGCATGTTAAAATTGACACTGTTTTCACAAGTTTAGTGGCCAACTATCTGAAGTATTCTCAAAAAGTCTTTTTTAAAAAAGGGAGTTCCTCTCAAATAACAGTTAACTTAGTAAATTCAAATGTTACTTCTTCCCTATTCTCTTTAATTTCTTTTAAATTCTCATTCTTTACCTAGCAAAACATCAACTGGTTAGAACTTCAAATAAAAATAAACGATATGCCCAAATAAAAAAAAATCATAATAAAACAAACAACAAAAGTCCTTCAAAGTACCTCTAACTTGTGTGATGCATTCTCTGGTAAAGATTCAAAAATTAAATCTTCGAGTGATTTGGGCTGGTTGGATTTAGCCTTTGGTGGAAACAAAGATGGTGGGTGACCTTGAGCCTGGAAACCCTCAAGTTCTCCAGCTGGGTTCTGCTGCATGAGTTTTAACCTTTTCCTTTCTTTCCGGATTTCCTTTGCTTTTCGACATGGAGGCTTACTCAAATCAGCCCCTTTGCCTAAAAAGAATTTTAAAATATTAGACCAATCACATTTGGTTCTAGAAAAGTATTTTCACATGTCTCAAAGATTCTACAGAGTAAGTCCAAAGAGTTCCAATGGTTAGGCTAGCTTTGGGGTAGATGTTTCAGAGGATCCCGATACAGAGCTATAAGTGGATCTAAAATTCTACCTTAGAAGTGAGAGTTGCTAGAGAAAGTAAATAGCACAGAAACTTTCCAAGGCGGCTCTTACCGCTGAAAATCTTTTTTATCTTTTTTTTGAGACAGAGTCTTGCTCTGTCACTCAGGCTGGAGTGCAATGGCGTGATCTCGGCTCACCGCAACCTCTGCCTCGCTGGTTCAAGCAATTCTCCTGCCTCAACCTCCCGAGTAGCTGGGACTACAGGCGTGCGCCACCATGTCCAGCTAATTTTTTGTATTTTTAGAAGAGATGGGGTTTCACCATGTTGGCCAGACTGGTCTCGAACTCCTGACCTTGTGATCCACCCGCCTTGGCCTCCCTAAGTGCTGAGATTACAGGCGTGAGCCACCACGCCCAGCCTGAAAATCTTTAAAAAAAAACAAAAACACATTCATCCAATCAAATCAAAGTACCTTCTGCATTAAAAGGACACTGATATCTCTGCCCAACATTTCTGAGGGACATTTCTCTGAAAGCACTGGTAACATAAATACTTAGGAACCAGGTGTAAAGGAATACTGATCCCAGCACAAACTCTGACAGGTTTTTATAAATTAAAAGAATCCTCGCACACCTGTAATTCTAGCACTTTGGGAGGCTAAGGCAGGCAGATCACCTGAGGTTGGAAGTTCGAGACCAGCCTGGTCACCGTGGTGAAACCCCATTTCTACTAAAAATACAAAAATTAGCCAAGTGTGGTAGCACACACCTGTAATCCCAGCTACTGAGGAGGCTGAGACATTAGAATTGCTTGAACCAGGGAGGCAGAGGTTGCGCCGAGCTGAAATGGCACTACTGCACTCCAGCCTGGGTGACAGAGTGAGACTCTGTCTCAAAAAACAAAAAAGGAATCCTTGCTTAGTTAAAGGTATCTGTGTCTTTATCCAAACACTGCAGGTATTTGGGTCTCATTAGTTCAGTTGTAGTCAATCAGAGTTTTGTTCTAATTAAAAGACCAAATATCAAACTGACAACCCTTTAAAATAAAAAACTTTTTACTATTATAAACTAAATAAAAATACTTAGAAAAAAACCTGGAAAGACGACACCATGGTGACAGTCATTTTACTTTGTTTCAGAAACAGATAGAGAATTTCCCTTTTTAGTAGTGTTATCTTTTCTCCAAATTTTGTTTTTTTTTTTTTTTTTGAGACGGAGTCTCACTCTGTCACCCAGGCCGGTGTGCAGTGGCACGATCGCAGCTCACTGCAACCTCCACCTACCGGGTTCAAGCAATTCTCCTGCCTCAACCTCCTTAGTAGCTGGGGCTACATGTGCGCGCCACCATGCCTGGTTAATTTTTTGTATTTTTAGTAGAGACGGAGTTTCACCATGCTGGTCAGGCTGGTCTCAAACTCCTGACCTCGTGATCCGCCCGCCTTGGCCTCCCAAAGTGCTGGGATTACAGGCGTGAGCTACTGCGCCTGGCTGAATTTTCCAACAACAAACATTACGCTAGTAATTTTTTAGAAGATATTAAAGAAATAAGCTGTTTAAGATCCCAAAACAGCCGGGTGTGGTGGCTCACACCTGTAATCCCAGCACTTTGGAAGGCCGAGGCAGGCAGATCACAAAGTCAGGAGATGGAGACCATCCTGGCTAACACAGTGAAATCCCGTCTCTACTAAATATAAAAAAAAAAATTAGCCAGGCATGGTGGCACATGCCTGTAGTCCCAGCCACTTAGGAGGCTGAGGCAGGAGAATTGCTTGAACCCAACAGGCGGAGGTTGCAGTGAGCTGAGATTGCGCCACAGCACTCCAGCCTAGGTGACAGAGCGACACTCCGTCTCAAAAAAAAAAAAAAAAAAAATCCCAAAACAGGGTATTCACAAACCATATGAAAGTCAACAAAAAGAAGGTTTATAAAACCAACAAATTCAGTTTTTAGAGAGAAGAAAATCAAAACCTAGAGTAGTTAAAGGATTTGCCTGAGACCATAAGCTCACCAAATGAAAACCAATCTGATGAGAAAGTAGTGAGTTCACAAACATTTCAGACTATCTCACAACTTCATTAACATTTTCTAACTAAAGTTTACTTTTTTAAAAAACGACTTTGAGTAAGCCTAAGTTATATAAGTCTGAACCAGGTAACAAAAGAACATTTCTGTAACTATTACTCTACTGCCTAACAGAATTACTTTTCTTGGACCACAAACTGTGTGTTTTCTCAAATTTGCTCTGAGCACACACACTCCGAAACAAGCTGCCTGAGGTCATGGACCAGGCTCTGTCACTTCGCTAGATGACCTTGGACAAGTTTCCCTGTCTGTACAAGAAAGACAAAAACCAATCTTACCTACAGCATTCCTGTGAGGATTAAATGAGTTAATACCTGTGCAGCTCATAAAAAATCAACTACCATTCATTTACGGCTAACTATTATTAGCTATTATTTGTATTACCAACATCTAGAATAATGTTTTACCTATATAAAATTCCATAAATAGTAATTTTCAAAACCTTCCATTTCCTATACTGAAAATTATATTCCCTACAGAAGTTATAAAATTATAAGCAAATTTAAAACTAACATGATCTAAGAAACACACATTTTCAGTATTTTTATGCAGGACTGACTACCTGTATCATCTTTATACTAACTAAGTCACCGGACTAGGTAAGCCTTCTCATGATTGTTTTGCTCTACATTTATATACTATGTTACTGCAATGGAAAGTAGGATTTCAGGCAGGATTCAGTGGCTCATGCCTGTAATCCCAGCATTTGGAAGGCCGAGACGGGCGGATGACCTGAGGTCAGGGGTTTGAGACCAACCTGGCCAACATGGTGAAACCGTCTCTACTAAAAATACAAAAAATTAGCCGAGAGGGTTGGTGTGCACCTGTAGTCCCAGCTACTTGGGAACCTGAAGCAGGAGAACTGCTCAAACCCAGGAGGTGAAGGCTGCAGTGAACCGAGATCACACCACTGCACTCCAGCCTAGGCAACAGAGCAAGACTCTGTCTCCAAAAAAAAAGTAGGATTTCAGCATATTAGGGGATACAGATCTCCCAGTTCACTAAATTCCTTCAACAGAATGGAAATAGATCATCAGTGTAAAATCAGTACACTATACCAAACCCTGCACCCACAGAGGTTCAAAGCAACTCAAGAATTCCAGATTAGTCCCAGGTGATTTGAATAGAGTTTAGGAGACCTACATAATTTCTAATTAAGTCCAAGGGAACAGACTTGTAATATTTTTTAAATTAAAATGGAAATGCAAGCTAGCCACAATGGCTCATGTCTGTAAATTCCAGCACTTTGGAAGGCCAAGGTGAGAGGACTCCTTAAGCACAGGAGTTCCAGACCAGCCTGGGCAACATAGCAAGACCTCATCTCTACAAATCAACTTTTTTAGGCCAGGTGTGGTGGCTCACGCCCATAATCCCAACACTTTGGGAGGCTGATGCAGGCAGATCACTTGAGTACAGGAGTTCAACACCAGCCTGAACATGGCAAAACCCCATTTCTACTAAAAATACAAAAAATTAGCCAGGTGTAGTGTCATGCACTGGTAGTCCCAAGTACTCCAGTGGCTGAGGTGAGAAAATTGCTTGAGCCCAGGAGGTCAAGGCTACAGTGAGTCCTGATCGTGTCACCACACTCCAGCCTGGGAGACAGAAAAAGACCCTGTCTCAACAACAACAAAAAATTAAAAAGGAAATGCAGGTTTGCTTTTGCAGGTTCCAAAAAAAAAAACAATCCAGGGTGTTGTGTTTGTTTATTTGTTTGTTTGTTTGAGATGGAGCCTCACTCTGTCGCCCAGGCTGGAGTACAGTGTTGAGATCTCAGCTCACTACAACCTCTGCCCCCCGGGTTTCAAGCAATTCTCCTGCCTCGGCCTCCTGAGGAGCTGGGATTGCAGACATGCACCTCCACCCCCAGCTAATTTTTGTATTTTTAGTGGAGATGGGGTTTCACCATGCTGGCCAGGCTGGTCTCGAACTCCTGACCTCAGGTGATGCGCCTGTCTCGGCCTCCTAAAGTGCTGGGATTATAGGTGTGAGCCACTGAGCCTGGCTAAAATCCAAGGATTTTAAAATGGTCTCAGATTTTTAGTGAAAGATATCTTAAGGGGGGAAAGAAAAACCCTGCAAAAACAGTTTTTAATGTTTCACTAACCGTACTGCTAGAAGTAAGGTTGTTATTCTAAAACTGTGTAATATGGGAAAAAGCAAAAGGTTAATGTGTGATATTCTAACCTAATTCTACCATCCTCAGTGTTCTCAAGAACTAGGTTTCTCAGTGTAGAAGAAACTACAAACATCAAAAAAAAAAAAAAAAAAGAAAGAAAAAGATAAAAATGTATGGCCAGGCACGGTGGCTCATGCCTATAATCCCAGCACTTTGGGAACCTGAGGCAGGTGGATCACTTGAGGCCAGGAGTTCGAGACCAGCCTGAGCAACATGGCAAAACTCCATCTCTACTAAAAGTACCTAAAAATACAAAAAATTAGCCGGGCGTGGTGGCAGGCGCCTGTAGTCCCAGCTACTTGGGAGGCTGAGGCAGGAGAATGGCATGAACCCAGGAGGCGGAGCTTGTGGTGAGCAAAGATGGTGCTACTGCACTCCAGCCTGGGCAACAGAGCGAGACTCCGTCTCATAAAAGATTAGAATGCTATAGTCCTAAATTTGAATTGGAAGTATCAGTATGAACTCATAACCTCATAGGTCTGTTCGCCAACAAAGCCTAGAAAACAATGACCAAGCCAGCAGCAATAATGTGCACTCCTAATCTAGTGTGTGATCTCCAAATACCATTTCCCACTAAAAGGAACCACAACCTCTCGAAATGCCTGTACAAGATGATCCAGGAGCATAATATCATGCCAAATAGCAAGGAAGCTGTCAAAGACTACCAGGATTATGTCGAAAGGACTCAAAAGTCAACTTAAAGAAGCTCTCAGAGGAGCAACAGATTGCAACAGCAGTATGTTCAGATCCATGAGTTCCCAATGGTACCAAAAAGAAAACTAACTGGTCACTGTTAGATGTTATTTTGAAAAATGGTAAATAAAAAGAAGGAATCAAGAATGTATCCTGCCAGCCGGGTGCAGTGGCTCACTCTTGTAATCCCAGTACTTTGCAAGGCCAAGGCAGGTGGATCACCTGAGGTCAGGAGTTCAAGACCAGCCTGGCCAATATGGCTAAACCCCGTCTCTACTAAAAATACACAAAATTAGCTGGGCGTGGTGACACACACCTATAATCCTAGCTACTCTGGAGGCTGAAGCAGGAGAATCGCTTGAACCCGGGAGGCGGAGGTTGCAGTGAGCCAAGACCGCACCACTGCACTCCAGCCTAGGCGACAGAGTGAGACTCTTTCAAAAAAACAATGCATCCTGCCTTTGCTATGGGTTTTTATGAGAAACAAACAGATAAGGGGAAGACTCTCTTTATGGAAGCAGTCCAGCCAGCCTGGAAATGAAGAAATGAATGAATTTAAGCATGGATCATCCATGACTATTAGCACTAACGAAAAGAGAAGCACCCAGACATTACACGTCTCCTGAAAGACCACTCTAACACCCATGAAGTAATCTCACCCATCCTCAAATAACTCAAACTCAAATCTGATTAAGACTTGCCCCCCTGCCCCGCCGCAAAAAAATAAACAAAAGAAAATTTAGCACAGAATCCGATCAAGGCTCTATATCTAACCATCAATTTATAAGCAGGCAGAGGAACATGTTAAACCGCAAACGTAACCTGTCAGATACAGAAAGTGGAACAAACAACCCAAGACAGACAACCCAGCTGAGGAATGATGGAAGCGGAACCTCTAAAACAAGAGATCTTTACTGTAGTTTTTTTGAGACAGGGTCTCATTCTCGTCACCCAGACTGGAGTGCAGAGGCATGATCTCAGCTCACTGCAGCCTCGACTTCCCAAGCTCAGGTGATCCTCCCACCTCAGCCTCCCAAGTACATGGGACTACAGGCATGCGCCATAACACCTGGCTAATATTTTGTATTTCTAGCACAGACAGGTTTCACCATATTGTCCAGGCTGGTCTCGAACTCCTGGGCTCAAGCAATCTACCTGCGTCGTCGGTCTCCCACAGTGCTGGGATTATAGGTGTAGGCCACCACGCCTCGCCAAGAGATTTTTTGAATGTATCAACAATCACAATACGTGGACATTATCTGGATCCTGGCAAAAATAAATGTTTAAAACTTGGAATTTTCTCAAGCCTGTAATCCCAGCACTTTGGGAGGCCGAGACGGGTGGATCACAAGGTCAGGAGATCGAGACCATCCTGGCTAACACAGTGAAACCCCATCTCTACTAAAAAATACAAAAAACTAGCTAGGCGAGGTGGCGGGCGCCTGTAGTCCCAGCTACTCGGGAGGCTGAGGCAGGAGAATGGCGTGAACCCGGGAGGCGGAGCTTGCAGTGAGCCGAGATCCAGCCACTGCACTCCAGCCTGGGTGACAGAGCAAGACTCTGTCTCAAAAAAAAAAAAAAAAAACTTGGAATTTGAACACTATTCAATGCCATTAAGAAATTTTATTCAAGTATAATAATGGTATTGTGAATATGTTTTTTTAAAGTTCTTATCTTTTAGAAACGTATTCTGAAATACAGGATAGCACAATGTCTGAGATCTGCTTCCATATAATTTTGGAAGGGGGAACTAGACGAAACAAGAGTGGCTATGACATGAGTCAGTAATTGTTTCAAATGCAGGTAGAGTACATGGAAGTTGATTACACTATTCAATCTATGCTCATCTATGTTTGAATAATGAAGATTTTTAAAATTTGACAAACTATAAGTAATTTTATTAAAAAATAATAAAAGAATTGACCCTACACACACGAAACAGCTGAAACAAACTGTCTAAATTATTCAAAATATTTCACTGGAGGCTGGGCACAGTGGCTCACGCCTGCAATCTCGGGACTTTGGGAGGCCAGGGTTGGAGGATAACTTGAGGTGAAGGGTTGGAGACCAGCTTGGGTAATATAGTGAGACCCTGTCTCTACAAAAAACTTTAAAATAGCTAGGCATGGTGACAAGCTCCTGTATTCCTACCTACTCAGGAACCTAAGGCAAGAGGATCACTTGGCCCCAGGAGCTCAAGGCTGCAGTGAGCTATGATGACGCTACTTCACTCCAGTCTAGGCAGCAGAGCAAGACCCTCTCTCAAATTAAAAAATAAATATTTTATTGAACTATTAGTATTAATTAGGAAGAAATCTCAGACCAAAATCAACTTAATGAAAACCTTACGTAAAAAACTATTCAATAAAATTGCAAATGGAGAATTTTCTCTACTTTAACATGTGTAACATAGTTTAGACAAGAAAAACTAAAATAGTACTAAAAATCTTTCCCTTGGATCATTTTGCATAAATACAAGAACTAATTCAAAAACTGACACCATCTAATAAACTAATAACCATTCAACTTCACATTTTATGAAATAATTTTGGAAGAGTCATACACACATATTACACTCATTTAATACTGGATAAACTTTTGAAGGCTAATTCTTGTATAAGTAATAACATAAAAAAAAATCTTACCTGATTAAATGCAAAGTTAAACATCAAAATGTGGACTTTTTAAAACTAAAATGTACTAAAATTACATTAAAAATTTAATGATAAACTGAAGAATTTTATAACGTATTTTGGACATAATACCGATAATTAATGTTGTCTCACTTAATCCTAAAGTAAGAATGTTTATCACTCCTTTTCACTGAGAAAAATTTGATTCTCAACCCTGTAAGGCCCTAAAGTAGTAAAAAGAAATGGAACTCTTTGAAAATATCTGTATTTAGGGATAAGGCTATTGTTTCAGGCTTTTTAAGCACAGCAGTTTACAAAAGGCATGATTTGTCCCTCTAATTCTGGCAACAATAAATAAAGCACGCTTCTGTTTTACAGATTGCATGACTAAATCATCCTTTTGGCTGATGGAAAGGCCCAGGGTTTAAAATGACTCAGCAAAAAGCAAAGCAGTGAATACGACTTGTTATCAAAAATCTTTACTACCTGGCTTAGGAACTGTGTGAACTTTAACTGAATGTGATGGTTCACCAGAGCCCAACTTCTCTCCTACGGAATCTTGTGACTGAAGTAATTCATGAGGTTCTTCTTTTTTTGAATTTTTTCCTTCACTCTCTAAACTCTCTTTGACGTCATCACTGAGCGTCTTAAGATCACACTGTATATCCAATTTATTTATCAATGCAAAGTCACCAGCAACAGCATCATCCATTGTGGAGTCCATGGGCTCATCTACAAATAAGAAGAAATTAAAAATCCATCAGCTGGGTTGACACAGTTAAGGTAAAAACAGAAACACAATGCCCCTATTATCCACTGTAGCAGAATTACTATCTGTCCACCAAATCCATTCTCATCCTCCAAAATAAGAGAGGTGCACTTAAGACTAGCACAGCTGGGCATGGTGGTTCATGCCTATAATCCCAGCTCTTTGGCAGGCCAACACAGGAGGACTGCTTGAAGCCAGGACTTTAAGACCTGCCTGGGCAACATAGTGAGACACTATCTCTACAATAAATGAAAAAAAACAAACTGTGGCACCCTAGCAGGGGAATGTACTGCCAGTCCCCTGCCAATGGTGGGGGTGACCATTTACAAATGGTCACCAAGCTCCTGCCAATGGAACATAACACAACTGATACATCCAACTGTGCCTCACTAGTTTTAAAGGAAATTTGTAACCCTGAACTTCTACCCTTCCCCCAGTGGCTGGATTAGCAAAAACCAGAGCAACCTGGGAAATCACATGTTAAAGAAAAGCCCAGAATGGCTGGTGGGGAGCAGAGTTGTATGCCAACCTAGAAAACCCACACTGAACTGTTATGTGAGGAAAGAAACAGACTTTTTTGTTTGTTTTCTGAGACAGAATCTTGCTCTGTCGCCCAGGATGGAGTGCAGTTTCATCCTCCGCCTCCCGGGTTCTCGCCATTCTCCTGAATCACCCTCTCCAGTAGAGAATCTTGCTCTGTCGCCCAGGATGGAGTGCAGTTTCATCCTCCACCTCCCGGGTTCTCGCCATTCTCCTGAATCACCCTTCCCAGTAGCTGGGACTACAGGCGCCCACCATCATGCCTGGCTCATTTTTTTTTTTTTTTGAGACGGAGTCTCCCTCTGTCATCCAGGCTGGGTTGCAGGGGCGCGACCTCGGCTCACTGCAAGCTGCACCTCCCAGATTCACGCCATTCTCCTACCTCAGCATCCCGAGCAGCTGGGACCACAGGCGCCCGCCACCACGCCCCGCTAATTTTTTGCATTTTTAGTACAGATGGGGTTTCACTGTGTTAGCCAGGATGGTCTCGATCACCTGACCTCGTGATCCACCCACCTCGGCCTCCCAAAGTGCTGGGATTACAGGCGTGAGCCACCGTGCCCGGCCAAGCCCGGCTCATTCTTTGTATTGTTAGAAGAGACAGGGTTTCACTGTGTAAGCCAGGATGGTCTCAATCTCCTGACCTCGTGATCTGCCTACCTTAACCTCTCAAAGTGCTGGGACTACAGGCGTGAGCCACCGCACCCGGCTCCGAAAGAAACAGACTTTTATCTTTTTTTTAGTTATTGCATTTTGGTATATTTTTGTCATAAGTTGTTTATTCCTTTACCCTAATGAGCTCATCACTCCTAAGATAAGTTCCAGGCACAGATAATTCAGAAGCCTATAACAAGTCAAATAAAGAACCAAATATAAACACTACATAAGAAAGAGAGGCGGCCAGACGTGGTGGCTCACACCTGTAATCCCAGCACTTTGTGAGGGCAAGGTAGGCAGTTCATGAGGTCAGGAGTTCGAGACCAGCCTGGCCAACACAGTGAAACCTCGTCTCTACTAAAAATACAAAAAAATTAGCCAGACGTGGTGGCAGACGCCTATGGTCCCAGCTACTTGGGAGGCGGAGACAGGAGAATGCCTTGAACCCAGGAGGTGGAGTGTTGCAGTGAGTCAATACTGAGCCATTGCACTCCAGCCTGGGTGACAGGGCAAGACTCCGTCTCCAAAAAAAAAAAAGGCAACCACCAATTTACAAATGGACAGCATCTTCAGTGCTCATCTCCATGTCTCCATGTTCATTTTTCCAACTCAGAACCTAATTCCCTTTTATTTTTTTGGTGGAGACAGAGTCTTGCTGTCACCTAGGCTGGAGCACAATCTTGGCTCACTGCAGCCTTGACCTCCCTGATTCTTGTGCCTCAGCCTCCCGAGTAGCTGGGACTACAAGAGTGCACCACCAAGCTCGGTTTTTTGTTTCTTGTTTTTTTTTTTTAAGATGGAGTCTCGCTCTGTCGCCCACGCGGGAGTGCAGTGGCGCAATCTCGGCTCACTGCAACCTCCGCCTCCTGAGTTCTAGCGATTCTCCTGCCTCAGCCTCCCAAGTAGCTGGGACTACAGGCACCTGCTACCACACCCAGCTAATTTGTTGTATTTTTAGTAGAGACAGGGTTTCACCATCTTAGCCAGGATGGTCTCGATCTCCTGACCTCGTGATCCGCCTGCCTCAGCCTCCCAAAGTGCTGGGATTACAGGCGTGAGCCACCATGCCTGGACCCAGTAAGAAAATTTAAAGAAATAAAACCAAAACTGGGAAAAAGACTAAGAAAAAAAAGCAAATCATGTGTAACTAAAGTTAAATACATGCTATTATCTTTTAGCAAAGTCACTCACAATTCAAAACTGATCACACAGATAAGAGGATTTCAAACAGTATAATTTACTGAAGTAAAGCCTTATTCAAACAGAAAAGCTGATCTTTATTCAGCATTAAAAGGAACAGGGGAATCTTGTACAAGCTACACGTAAGCACTTGCTTCTTGAGAGACAATGGCACTTTCTATTTACTTGATAAAGATAGTATTAGGATCAAGAAAGATGAGTCATCAAAGCATTCTGGTTGATAAACTCCAAGAAATCACATCTTTAACATAATCCTCAACATTCTTTCCAAGCTAAACTCTTCTGATATATTCCCTGTACCTTGACTTGGGGGCCGATGGTAACAGTAATAGCAGTGCTAACAGTAGTTGCTGTCATCATAGTAGTACATGACTGTATTAATGACCCTTCCTCTATCTAAGATGACTGAAAGTGGGACTGTTGCAAAGACAGACAGTAAATCGTTTTTAGACCCAGCCCATCTTACCCTCACAACTTCCTTTGGGAACCTCCCCTTTAGCCAGGAATTTCAACATTTTTTTCAAAACCTTCTTGTGAGATTTTGAAGGCTGAAACTGTAAAGGTTGGCACCTAGGAAAGCAAAATAAATATTTAAAAAGTGAACTCAAACCTTGAAGAAATGAAATCAGTTCTGGATATCACCTAGTACAATGAGACCATCTCATGCCCGAGATTTCTGGTTAAAGATGGGGCTTAATGTAGCCTCTAATCCCAGCCCACATCACACTAAGACTAGAGTTAAGAGATTTTTTTTTTCTTTTGAGGTAGAGTCTCACTCTGTCGCCCAGACTGGAGTATAGTCGCGGTATCTTGGCTCACTGCAACCGCCACCTCCCAGGTTCAAGTGATTCTCCTGCCTCAGCCTCCTAAGTAGCTGGGATGACAGGCGTGTGCCATCACACCTGGCTAATTTTTGTATTTTTAGTAGAGACACGGTTTCGTCATGTTGGTCAGGCTGGTCTCGAACTCCTGACCTCGTGATCCACCTGCCTCGGCCTCCCAAAGTGCTGGGATTACATGCATGAGCCACCTGGGCTCCCAGCAAGAGTTTGTTTTTTTTTTCCCAAAAAAAAGAGAAAGACATAAAACACTAGAAAAAAGAGAAGGAGAGAAGTGTTAGAAGCTTGAAAACAGATGTACAAAGCAATGCTGCTTTAACAGACCAAAGAAAGTTGAATCCTAGGTCAACAGTGGAAAAAAACAAAACAAAAAGCCAATTTTCTCTATATTACCCTTAAAAGTATAAGGGATTGGTGACACCTCATAGCTCTGGAAATATGAGTGGAAGTATGTCTAAAAATAGAAAGATCCCTTCAAAGTCTCGTTTTCGAAGCAGTTAGGATAGACACCAGATCCCCTCTCCCACCCGCAGATGACTAGACGACTCCCTACTCAACCCAGCAGAAAACGGCAAACTTTCAGGAAAGAGTAACAAGGAGCCTCTTACAGGATGGATGCAAGCCACAGCTGAAAGCAGGGATACTACTGAAAACGGCTAAAATGAAAGTGTACACAGTACATGTTGAGATCACCAATCCAGCTCCAGAACAGCAGCAGGTTATGTAACACTTTCTCTCCAGAACGTGATCAGACCTAAAAATACTAACATCGGGGATTCCCCAACAGAACAGCCCCGCCAGATCACCCACAGTACACAAGGCCGAGAAATACCCAAGACCCACAAAAAACAAAACCCACCAGGGACATGGAATTTCCAATGGAACCCTGAAAAGTCCTAATCACCAGACACTCGAGGAGAGCCTCCACTGAAAAGATAGGTACCAAACAAACTGGAGAGAGTCACTTGGAGGACACAGACCATGGCAGAAAGAAGAGAACCTTTTAAAAAAATCCTTAGAAAGATCTCGTTTATTAAGCCACCAGAGCCATAAAATAACAAGGTGTTATTAAACAAACAAACAAGAGTCAGAGAACAAAAAGACCTTCAGAAGAAAAAATATGACAGGAGAAATGTAAAAATTAAGTAGAAGACCTGAAAACTTAAAGTTGAAGAAACCTCCCAGAAGATTCTGCAAAAAAAGATGAAAAACTGAAGACAAAAGGTAAAGTCAGAGACCAGTTTAAAAGGTCCAAAAGCTAAATAAAGGCATTTTAAAAAGAAGAAAATGGAGGTGAAAAGATAGAACAAAAAATTTAAGAAAATTTCCCTGAACTAAAGGATAAGATGGGACGAGCCCCCAGATAAGAAGGGCCCCTCCAGTTCGTCTGTGATGGATTAAAACAGACACACAGCCAAACTGACTATGAAATGTAAGAACAGAGGATAGAAAAGCTTCCAAAGAGACGCTAGGCAACAGAGTGAGACTCCGTCTCAAAAAAAAAAAAAAAAAAAAAGAAAAAGAAAAGAAAAGAAAAGCTTCGGCAGGGCACAGTGGCTCATGCCTGTAATCCCAGCACTTTGGGAGGCTGAGGCGGGCAGATCACAAGGTCAGGAGATGGAGACCATCTTGGCTAACACGGTGAAACTCGTCTCTACTAAAAATACAAAAAATTAGCTGGGTGTGGTGGCGGGCGCCTATAGTCCCAGCTACTTGGGAGGCTGAGGCAGGAGAATGGCGTGAACCCAAGAGGCAGAGGTTGTAGTGAGCAGAGATCATACCACTGCACTCCAGCCTGGGCAACAGAGCGAGACTCCATCTCAAAAAACAAAAAACAAACAACAACAACAAAAAGGAATGCTTCCAAAGAGAAAGAATACGTCTCAGATAAAGGTATGAGAATCAGAATACCACTGCACTTCTCAGCAGTGGTATCCTCCCAAACTAAAGTTAAGTTTGAGCAGTGAATCAAAGTTTGCAGACACACAAGAACTCAAAAATGTACCCCTTATGCACTTTTTCTATTAGAAGATGTGCTTCACTAAAATAAGGGAATAACCCAAGACAGAAGGGTTTCCAACTCAAGTGCTAAAAAGAATCCCCAGGCCAGGCACGGCAGCTCACGCTTGTAATCCCAGCACTTTGGGGAGGCTGAGGCGGGTGGATCACGAGGTCAGGAGATTGAGACCATCCTGGCCAACACGGTGAAACCCTGTCTCTACTAAAAATACAAAAAATTAGCCAGGCATGGTGGCATACGCCTATAGTCCCAGCTACTCAGGAGGCTAAGGCAGGCGAATCACTTGAATCTGGGAGGCAGAGGGTGCAGTGAGCCGAGATCGCGCCACTGCACTCCAGCCTGGGC